AAAAGTTCTGTTGCACTTCAAATGTGAAATCTGAACAATCTGAGAGACTGAGGATAGACTGCAATTACTATTACAGCCTAGCTAAGGGGAACAACCTTTCTAATTCTGATGGATCTAGAACTGCAAAAGAACAGAAGACTTTAAAGACAAAAAAAAAAAAAAGGGACAAGAGAAGAGAATCAGAGGACAGTCCTCCAGCACAGCTGAAAGCCAGAAATGATAAATAGAATTTGTCTTACTTAAAATATGTATGTTTAAAATATGCACATTTTAAAAATCTATGCATGAATCAACTTCCATAAAATATTTAGACAATTCACCTAACTGTTGAAGATTTGGTGTGCAAGACGGTAGTTTGGGGGCAATTTTAGTTTAGTTTCACTGAGAGTTCCTCACAGCTATTTCACCCTTGCCATTATACTTAAGATGATTCTGTCTATGTAGATTGAATATATTTTTCAGTGGCATTTTGAATTTCAGAGGGTAGGACTTTCCAGAACTCTATTTTACCTGTGAATGAGGAGAGCTTCTCTTCACTGCAATACACCGTCCTTATTTCATAAACATAGGCTCTTCTCCCACCCCGACTCTGTTATACTCAGCCCTCAACCTGGCTGAAGGTACTTGTCTAACAATTTTAAATGCAATGGTCAAATTAGGTCAGGCACAGTGGCTCATGCCTGCAATCCGAACACTTTGGGAGGTCGAGGCTGGCAGATCACTTGAGGCCAGGAGTTTGAGACCAGCCTGGCCAGCATGGTGAAACCCCGTCTCCATAAAAAAATACAACAATTAGCCAGGCATGGTGGCACGCGCCTGTCATCACAGCTACTCGGGAGGCTGAGGCAGGAGAATTGTTTCAACCTGGGAGGTGGAGGTTGCAGTGAGCCAAGATTGTGCCACTGCACTCTAACCTGGACAACAGAGCGAGACCCCATCCCCCTCCCAAAAAAAAAAAAAAAAAAAAGGCAATAGTCAAATAAGAAAATTGAGTTTTGGTGGATCAGTTTTCAGTTGACTTTCTCAACTCCTCCCCCAACCACAAAAGGTCTCATTCTTATCATACATCCCTTGTTTCATTTTACTCACTGTATTAGGTTGGTGCTAATGTAATCACAGTCTTTGCCATTGAAAGTAATGGTAAAAACTGCAATTAATTTTGCACCAACCGAATAGTTTTGTGGCTCTGAACAAACCCTAACTGACAAAAAAAAAGGGGGGAAAGGCATCTCAGGGATTTATGCAGACGATATGAAGTGAAGAGCCTGGCAGCCATATATGAATGGAGGAAGAGAGGGGACCCGCTGTACCTGCAGGGAGTCCCATAGGATGTCGCTATTATCCAGAAAAAAATCAGGTAGTGTCTTGTCTGAGATGACACCAGTGGAGATGGCAAGAAACCAGAAGCAATAGGAGGCAGAGCAGATGGAACTTTCTAACTGGACTTGCTGGTACTATAAAAGTATCCTCCAAATAAATGGACTTCTAAGAAAAAAGTGCTGTCTGGCCCAAATAGATGAGCAGTTCTATTTTTTGAAGTGTTATATCACAGAGCGTGGCTGCACTCTAGAAACACTGCACTTAACACTGACAATTGATTTGTGACAAAAATATTTTTTAAATGCATCCTTTTTTTTTTTTTTCTTAAAGCTTGTTTGAATACTTCCATTGTGCATACAGGTTCAGACCTGCAACATGTCTTCTTTGAAGCCACCTGGGCCTGGACGCTGACCAATAGTGACACCAGGAGTTCCTCCTTGGACACTGTCACCACGCTACTACTTTCTCAGATATTTATGGCATAATGGCCCTACTGCATGTGGATTTATAACTTTTAATATTAAACACTGTCAAAAGAATCAATAACCATGCCTGAATGAAGAGAAAGAAATCCCACCACTTCAGGATACAGAGCAATAATGGGACACAGCAAGTTCTTTAAACTGTGACATAAATAAAGCAAAACTGCTCAGCGATACAAATGAGAAGCTTGTCGTTGGAGGAAAATGTTGGGTTTCATTCCCAACCTTTTTTTTTTTTTTTTTCAAATTGACTAAGAATGTAAGAAGAAAACGTGAGGAAATTTACAAATTCTAAACAATTACAAGGACTATGGCAGTGATGCACCCAGCAAGTGACAGAGCTGGGAAAAGGCCTTTGCAGACAGGTCAGCCTGGGAAAAGTCCCCTCCTCTGTGTCAGCTCAGGCTTTCGCCATCCTGCATTCCTTGTATGAGCCATTCATCTTAAACCGGTAAGTAAAGCCATTGAAGCCATTCAAAAACCCAGGAAACACATCGGGCTTCTTGAATGAAAAAATGAGCTTGTGGCTTCATTAACTCTTCAATTTAACATGGGTCAGTCAACCTCAAGTCACCAGGGTTGAGTAGATGGCCTTTGTGTAGACTGTGGTCTACAAACTTGTAACTAGTACCCCTGGCTTCCCAAATTTCTCTTTTAGTAGCCAATTGAAAACATGGTTTTTTTTTTGTTTGTTTAAAATGGGGCTGGGCACGGTGGCTCACGCCTGTAATCCCAGCACTTTGGGAGGCTGAGGCAGGCAAATCATCTGAGGTCAGGAGTTCAAGACCAGCCTGGCCAACAGAGTAAAACCCCATCTCTACTAAAAATACAAAAATTAGTCAGCTGTGGTGGCAGGCGCCTGTAATCCCAGCTACTCGTGAGGCTGAGGCAGGAGAATCACTTGAACCCGGAAGGCAGAGGTTGTAGCAAGCCGAAATCGTGCCATTGCACTCTAGCCTGAGCAACAAGAGCAAAACTCTGACTCTAGAAGAAAAAAAAAAAAGGAAATGTGGGAGGAAAAGGGAGAGGGAGGAAGAAAAGAGTATTTCAACCCAGATCGAAATGCAACATTACTCACTATAGTAACATCCTAGAGTTGGGACAAGTGCAATATTATTGTCAAGACACTGTCGGAATAACTGACCTTTAAATTTTACTTAATTTGAAAAACGGAGATCTCATCTCTGCCCTTTTCATTCTCAGAAGGTTCCACACTCAATGCCTTGAGAACGTTTGATGTAAAATTCTTGATTTTGCTAGCAACATATATTCCTGACAGTGAAACATACACCAAGCTACTGGAATACAACGGTTATCACTTGCTTTTCTTCATAAAGAACTGTCCACGTTGAAGCCCGTCCTGTGCTTTTTCTAGAGGGGATTTTCTGTCCCGTGGAACCCTAGTCATAGCTTGCCTCCCAGAAATAGCAATACTTCGAGCCAGCTGCACAACTGGTCTTTAGCTGTATTTGATCAGTAAAGTGCTTAAAATTTGTATTACTTTTAAGTCCTGGCAAACCATAGACAGATGTTTTAAACATGGAAAATATCTATATTCCTCTCACAGTTTCATCCGGAAGGCTATTCTTGAGGTGCTGTGGTCTAGCTGGTAAAATGATGGGTTCAGAGGCAAGAATCCTGGCTCTTCACTAAATAGCTTGGGCAACTTAGCTAACCACTCCACACATGTTTTTCCCGTCTGTGAAATGAAGGGGTTGACCAGGTAACTTCCAGATGGCATCCACGCATCTGTGATTCCTTTAACTTGAAATGGGTATTATTGACCGTCTATAGATCATTAACTAACAACGAAAGCTATACTTTCAGAATGGATTTTTAAATGTATATTTTAGGCTGGGCACAGTAGCTCATGCCTGTAGTCCCAGCACTTTGGGAAGCCGAGATGGGTAGATCATTTGAGGTCAGGAGTTCAAGACTAGCCTGGCCAACATGGTGAAACCCCATCTCTAATAAAAAATAAAATAAAATGTATATTTTATATGCATGTGCAGACGGACATCTCTCTATCTATCTATCTATCTATAAAGACAGAATGAATTTCCATTTCATATCCTTCAAAGTTTAAAAGAGAACTCCAGGCCCAGCATGGTAGCACATGCCTGTAATCCCAGCACTCTGGGAGGCCAAGGCAATCAAGGATTGCTTGAGCTCAGGAGTTTGATACCAGCCTGTGCAACATGGCAAGCCCATCTCTACTAAAAACAAAAAAATTAGACAGGCATGGTGCTGTGTGCCTATAGTCCCAGCTACTTGAGAGGCTGAGGTGGGAGGATTGCTTGAGCCTGGCAGACAGAGGCCGCAGTGAGCCAAAATCACACCACTACACTTCAATCTGGATGACAGAATGAGACCCTGTATCAAAAAAAAATAAAATAAAATAAGAGAGAGAGAGAGAGAACTCTGGGATGGAGGGCTGGTTTTAAGAAAACCCCAATGCCAGGCACAGCAGCTCAAGCCTGTAATTCCAGGACTTTGAGAGGCTGAAGTGGGACAATTGCTTGAGTCTAGGAGTTTGAGACCAGCCTGGGCAACATAGCAACACCTTGTCTCCACAAAATTAGCTGGGCATGGTGGGGCACTCTTCTGGTCCAAGCTACTCTGGAGGCTGAGGTGGGAGGATCCCTTGAGCCTGCGAGGTTGAGGCTGAGGCTGTAGTGAGCCTCGATCACACCACTGCACTCCAACCTGGGCAACAAAGTAAAACCCTGTCTTAAAAAAAAAAAAAAGAACCCAAACTTGGCATCCTGGCTCCAATGTTTTCTGGCTGTGTGACTGTGCAGCATTTAAAAGCTTCCAATGATTTAGTTTCCTCACTTGAAAACTGGAATAATACCTGCCTGATTAACCACATAAGATTTGAAATAAAAAGCAAGTAAAATGATACCTAAAAGCACCACTTAAATAATAAAGTACCAGACCAGGCGTGGTGGTTCAGGCCTGTAATCCCAGCACTTGGGGAGGCTGAAGCAGACGGATCATGAGGTCAGGAGTTTGAGACCAGCCTGGCCAACACAGTGAAATCCTGTCTCTACTAAAAATACAAAAATCAGCCGGGTATGCTGGCATGCGTCTGTCATCCCAGGTACTCAGGAGGCTGAGGCAGGAGAATCGTTTGAACCCCGGAGGCAGAGGTTGCAGTGAGCTGAGGCCGTTCCATTACACTCCAGCCTGGGCAACAGAGTGAGACTCCATGTCAAAATAATAATAATAATAATAACATACTATACAAATGTTCAGGATTATGATTAAACTGATAAGAACAGACACTACACTTGATCTTAGCCAAAAGGCCAAGAAGCGATAGGATTATGATTATACATCAAACTGAATTCTTTTCCAAATATTTGCTGAGTATCCTTGGACAAATCAGCGTAAACTTGTTCTTTCAAAAAATAAGCAATAAGGGGCTGAAGTTTATGAACCAAACTGAAGCTGTAATTTGCTTATCCTGTAAATGAATTTCTTCATTTGAGGCCTGTGATTATTAAAAGTAGATTGACAGCTGCAATTGACATTACAACTCATTAGGTTTTTGGAAATGATGCACCAAAGTGACTACAGCTACAGGGGGTCCTCATTATCCATGGATAAGCAGTACTGGAAATGACGTTTTCAATGAATGTGCTTCCTACAGTGGGTTAAGTCTCCATGATGACCTTCAGTACTTTTCAATATTCAAATCCTTGTGTAGCCCCCTTCCACCCTGTACCTGAGCTGGCCTGTGAATCACTTTAACCAACAGAATGTGAAGAAGGTGATGCCAAGCCAGTTTGGGACCCATATCATTGGAAGCAGCTTCTGCTTTTGTACCTTCGGAAACCTTGAGTTGCAATGTAAGAAGTCTGGCTACCTTCCTACATGGAGAAGAAGGGGCCTTGAGACAATATGGAGAGAAAGAGAGAGGCCCCAGCCATCCCAGGGCTCCCATTCATCTCAGCCTTGTAGCTGTCCATGTGAAAGTAGCAGGTAAGTGAGTTACCCTGGACATTCTAGTCCAGCCAAGATCCCAAATGATGTCCGGCCCAGCTAAATGCAACTAGCAGAGTCTGACCAACCCACAGAATGATGACGGACAATAAAATGGTGGTGGTTTGCAACCTCTGGCTTAGGGATGGCTATAAATGTGTGTGTCCCTCCAAAATTCCTATGTTGAAATCCTAATCCCCGGTAACAGTATTAGCAGGTGGGGCCTTTGAGAGGTGATCAACTCATGAAGGTAGAGGCTTCATAAATGGAATTAGTCCCTTTATAAAAAAGACCCCAAAGAGCTCCCTCCTTCCTTCCACCATGTGAAGACACAGCAAGATGACCATCTGCAAACCAGGATGCAGGCCCTCACCAGACACCAGATCTGCCAGGGCTTCAATCTTAGACTTCTCAGCCTCCAGAATGATGAGAAATAAATTTCTGTTTTGTTTTGTTTTTTTGAGATGGAGTCTCACTTTGTCACCTAGACTGTAGTACAGTGGCGTGATCTCAGCTCACTGCAACCTTTGCCTCCCGGGTTCAAGCGATTCTCCTGCCTTAGCCTCCTGAGTAGCTGGGATTACATGTGCACGTCATCATGCTCAGATAATTTTTTGTATTTTTAATATAGACGGGGTTTCACCATGCTGGCCAGGCTGGTCTCGAACTCCTGACCTCGTGATCCACCCGCCTTGGCCTCCCAAAGTGCTGAGATTACAGTCGTGAGCCACCGCGCCTGGCCAAATTTCTGTTTTTTTGTAAGCCACCCAGGCTATGTTATTCTGTTAGAGCACCCTGAAGGGGTAGGTGGTTTGTTACATAGCAGTAGATAATCAAAATATAGAGACCAACACTGAATAATATGTCATTTTTAAAGGGCTTAAGATTTTATGCTAAAAAAATCAAAATAAGTCATCATTATAAATATGCCCTAATGGTTAGAACAAAGAATTAGCTGAGTGTTAGATTTGGTGGGGAGGGAAGATCATTTTTCTGACAAAATTATGTGAGATGACATTCTTTTCCTGACTTTTATACCCCAGTGATGAAAAAAGTTCTGCAAAAATATTTTTGAAGACTATCATTTTTTTTTACCAAGGTCCTCTATTAACTGGTTGTTATGCAACTTCTTCTATTCTGAAGTACTTGGGCTGTTAAGGGTCTAACTCCCGGATTCAAACAATTTTCCTGCCTCAGTCTCTCAAGTAGCTGCGATTACAGGCACGTGCCACCACAACCGGCTATTTTTTTTGTATTTTTAGTAGAGACGATGTTTCACTATGTTGGCCAGGCTGGTCTCGAACTCCTGACCTCGTGATCTGCCCACTTCGGCCTCCCAAGATGCTGGGATTACAGGCCTGAGCCACCGCGCCCGGTCTGGTACTTTATTATTTAAGTGGTGCTTTTAGGTATCATTTTACTTGCTTTTTATTTCAAATCTTATGTGGTTAATCAGGCAGGTATTATTCCAGTTTTCAAGTGAGGAAACTAAGTCATGAGACGCTCTTAAATGCTCCACAGTCACACAGCCAGACTTTGGCTTCAGAGGTATTTTGGCATTTCTCCAGTATCTCTTTCAGCAGCTTCATGACAAACTGCATCTTTAAGGTATTCAGTTTTAGTTTGCAATCTCTTTGCATCATATTACTTGATATTTATGAGCATTTACAGCATTCGGCCAGAGACAAAGAAAAAGACGCGGAGATGCAAGGCAGGAACAGAAACTGATATTAAGGACACAGGAATGCTTACAGGAGAGCTAATTTTTTTCCCCCCCTAGACAGAGTCTTGCTCTGTCGCCCAGTCTGGAGTGCAGTGGCGCAATCTCAGCTCACTACAACCTCCCGGGTTCAAGCGCTAGGAGAACTAATTTTTAATAGTTCATTTGTGCATAGATTTGGTTTATCTAAGTAACTTATTAGCTGGGGTGTGGTGGAGATGAGGACTCATAATGAATACATCACGAGGTTCCACAGTATATCCCAGCATGGCATGGATTTGTCTTCCTTTGACTTCATCAGGGGCTTCCTCAGGCTAGAGGTGGCGTGAGCAGAAGGTCTCCTTTATCCCCAATAGTTATACAGTATCTAGTGTTTAGTTTGCATCAGTGAGACTCAATTGAACTGAATAGAGAGAAGGAAAGTATAATAACTAGTTTAAACCTTAAAGAATGAAAGAGCCAAACGGTTTATTCCAAAGTGAATAAAGTACAATGTGCTCTAACTCTAAAATTCCAATCAAGTTTTTTCCTTTTTTGAAGTTTGCAAGGAAATTGGGCATATAATATGGAGATCTATGCCCTAAGACCCACTAGATTAAATTACTCTACAAATAATTACTTTTTCTTTTATGTCCAGACAAACAGGAAGTCTGGTTTAAATTTTGACTTCTTAGTGAGAAATGAAGAGAATAGAAGCTACGTACATAAAATTCTCACTTCTACAAACTAAACCTGAAGCACAGTGTATTTTACTTTCATAAATTCCAGAGGGTACAACATGATAGAAAACTGTTCAAATTTTAAAAAGCTGTCCAAAAGTCCAAATACCAAAGAAGTAAAGTATTTATTAGGAATTACTATCCCCAGATAAGCCCCAAAACGTGGTGGGGGAGAAGGACTGTATTAGTCTGTTCTCATGCTGCTGATACAGACATAACTGAGACTGGGTAATTTATAAAGGAAAGAGGTTTAATGGACTCACGATTCTATATGGCTGGGGAGGTCTCACAGTCATGGCGGAAGGCGAATGAGGAACAAAGCCATGACTTACATGGCAGCAGGCAAGAGAGCTTGCGCAGGGGAACTCCCATTTAAAAAACCAGCAGAGCTCCTGAGATTTATTCACTACCAGGAAAACAGTATGGGCGAAACCACCCCGTGATTCAATTATCTCCACCTGGCCCCCCCTTGACACGTAGGGATTATTACAATTCAAGGTGAGATGTGGGTGGAGACACAGTCAATCCGTATCAGGCATACATGATTCCAGTTTTATCATGGGATAAATGCTAAATAATAAAAATAGTATCTGTATAATATTTAAGGAACTTATAACCAGCAATGCAAGAAACACCAAATAACCAATTGCAATTTTTTATTTCTAGATATCCAGCTTCACATTCAAGAAAAAATCTTTCCATTTAAAACGGTAACTTAGTCCTTAAAAGTTAGCAGTAGTGATATTGTGGGAATCCCATAGAAAGCATCACTTGAGAGACGGTTACAACAAATCCAGCCCATTCATTGACTTGTTTGTGAAAACAGGAAGACTGTAGCGAGCGTGGAGATATGAAAACCTCCTAGCCACAACGCTGGCAAAAGTACAAATTTGCCCAACTTGTCTGAAAAGTAATTTAGCAGTAAGTATCCTGAGTCTTAAAAATGTTACTCCGCTGGTGGGAATCTGTCTTAAGGGAATATTTAGACATGTGTAAAAAAGATTTATGCTCAAAGAGTCCATTGTGGCATTATATAGAATGGCAACAAAATGTCTTATAACGTAGGAATGTTTACATATAAACAGGATGGAACATTATGCAACCGTTCAATTATATTTGCAAAAAATATTTAATGACATAGAAAAATGCTCTTACATTCTGTATGCTCTTTGATGTAAAGAAAAAAATAAGGAAAATAAAGAAAAATGCTTTTATTACCCGAGAAAGCAAAACACAAAACTAGTTTAAGTATTTTACGTATGATAAAAATTTATATGGAGTGTATGTATCTACATATAAGTAGGCCTTAACAGACAGAGATACTAAAATGTTAAGCTTATCTTTGAGCAGGAGTGAAGATAGATCTTTTTTTTTTTCTTTCATTACAATTTAATGTATTTTCCAGTTTTTAATGTTTATGACATTTATAATCAATAAAAGGTAGTAAGATGGGAAAAGATCAATGCTACTAGTGTAAATCCATCAGATGCTTATACTAATGTCACAGGTAAAATAGTAAAATATAGATTTTGAATCCCCCAACCAAAACACACAGGCAGGCAAAGAGTTATGAAGTCAGGAGCTATTTCAGATTCTTTATTATCACAAAGTTGCTAATTGCCTGTCTTGCCTGAGATTTGATATTGTTCCTACGCATATTTCAGATCAAATTACACGCCTTTCTAGCGCTATGGTTCATTTTAATTCAATTCAAGCTGTTTGAGGTAGTCCATAGCTGACTGATTTTGACTTTGGTGGAAGTCTTGAAGCCCAGTGACAATTCTGGAAAAAGCTCCATGGCCTGAATAATTTTTATCACACTTAAGCCAGACCGGGAACAAGATCTCATTTGAACACACTCACGTGTGGGGTTAGCAGTGGAAATGGAGGGGGGCGTGTCATGAAGGGAACTTCCTAATCAGAAATTAGGAAGTGCGAGTCATCATTTGTAAGTTAAAAAAAAAAAAAAAAAAAAGAGAGAATCAAGAACAATACATTTTAAGTACAGATAAACCAAAGAAATAGAACCACAGAAAGACATCTTTTTAAAGAATAGAACCATAAGAATTATTATTTTTTTTTTTGAGATGGAGCCTCGCTCTGTCGCCCAGGCTAGAGTGCAGTGGCACAATCTGGGCTCACTGAAACCTCCACTTTCCAAATTCAAGTGACTCTACTGCTTCAGCCTCCCAAGTCGCTGGGATTACAGGCACCCACCACCACACCGAACTCATTTTTGTATTTTTAGTAGACATGGGGTTTCACTCTGTTGGCCAGGCTGGTCTTGAACTCCTGACCTCAAGTGATCTGCCTGCCTCGACCTCCCAAAGTGCTGGGATTATAGGCGTGAGCCACTGCTTCCTCCCAGGAAACCTTTTTAATGGAGGGCAAACAGCCTCAATAAGATGAAATAAAAAGTTACTATGGATTTGATAAATACGTATTAAACAGTTAATAAGTGTAAGATGCTATGTGAGGCAGGTAAGGTCTATGGGAGATACAAAGATAGATAAGAGTCCCTTGGCCTCACTTGGAGGCTGGGAACCAACAATCATGCCTTGTGTTCATTGACTAAGCCCCTATGTGTTGCTTAAAGCACTTTACATCTCTCATCTCAAATTCTCATGAATGTATTGCTGGCTTGATATTCTATGAGGAAAGTGAGGCCAAGAAAAGTTAAGAAACTTGCCCTTGGACTGAAAGGCTGCAATTCCAACCTGAATCTGCTTAGAGAAAGGCAAATATTGACTACGAACACCACTTCATACAGAGTTCTGTTAAGATTAATTAGACTAGTTTAGCCGACAATGACAAAATAGATAGCAACCTTATTGGATAATTAAAAGCCCAGCACTTGGTAATTTACATGACATGTCTACATTTTCCACATTCTCTCTGATGCAACATCTACAATGCACGTTTTTAGGATTAAAAAAAAAAAAAAAAAAAAAGCAGGCCCCAGGCATGGTGGGCTCATTCGGCTGGTAAATACGCAGCGACCACTTGGGATGGGCTGGATGGCAGCGAGGACTGCTGGAGCCCCCGGAGGAGTTTCGATCGAAGGGGTTGGTGGACAAAGTGAGACCTCGTCTCTAGGAAAAAAATTCAGAAAGAATATGTCAAGGGGTGTTGGGCCGCACCTGTGGTCCAGCTACACAAGGACGCGGAGTGCAGAAGGGATCACTTGAGCGCTGGGCTCTGAGGAGGGCTGGTAGTGAGGTTTCATGTCCCGACAGTCTCGAAGATTGAGAAGCGAAAACGAAAGAAAACGAAAACAAACGCTTCAAGATTTCATCCAGGACTCTGCGCCTCAGCCCACACCGCCGACTTCAGTTTCTTAAATTCCTGTAAAGTTCGACCACTTAATAGCTCTTCGGTCGTGTGCAATGTCTTTTTTCCCCTTCCCTCGCTCACGCCCAGGTCGTACGAGTCTTAGCAGAAGAACCACCAGTCCACTTCACAGGATGGTGATTCAGTAAACAAGGCTTCGGTTCAAGCAAAAATCTCTCCGCGTTTCCAGTTCCCCGTAGGAAGGCGCGTAATACCACGGCTCCTTTTCTTGAATGATGCGCAAGGCCGATGAATCAGTGCTCGGCCCTGAGGGTTCTCGAGACCTTTAAAAACAATTTGAACATTAGGAGTTCTGACAGTTAGCCCTTGTGGAGAAACGCCCACGGGGCACGTGCTGGCCCTTTCCTGGAACTGGTACATTTTCTTCTCCCGGTTTCCAAGGTCTCTGAAGCAGGTTTTCTGCCGCTGCCTGCTCCCCAGTTGTGGGAAATCGCAACCCGCATCCACCTTGTCCTTCCCTGGACCGCTTTCCGCCAATCGCTGGCAAACTGTCTACGCTCAGCTTCGAGGTACTGCTTTCTAACTAGAAGATGTCTGTGGTTCCTTTTGTGCTCAGCAATACAGGTAAGATGTCAATTCTAGGTACTGTCATAGCACCTCAAGTTTCACCTTAATAATGCACTTCTTCTGATTTTTGTTTTTTGGCCTTTGCTCTCCAGGCTGGAAGCTGTTTTTTTTTTTTTTTTAAGAGACAGGGTCTCACTCTGTCACTCAGGCTGGGGTGCAGCGGTATGATCATAGCTCACTGCAGCCTCAAACTCCTGGGCTCAAGTGTACCTCCTACTTCAGCCTCCTAAGTAGTTGGGACTACAAGTGCATGTTGCCACACCCAACTATTTTTTTTTATTTTCTATAGAGAAAGGGGTCTCCCTATGTTGTCCAGGCTGGTTTTGAACTCCTGGACTCAAGGGATCCTCCCACCTTGGCCCCCAAAGTACTGAGATTATAGGCATTAGCCACCGCACCCAGCTACCTTCTTCTGTTTTATGTCTTTTCCATCAGACTTGGAGTTCGCTGGGGTGAGTCACATCTTCTTTGCCTCTCAGTCCTCAGTTCCCTGCAGTGCCTGGTACATAATATGTATTTAATATGGTACATCTAGATGCTTGCTTGTTTTAGTCCAGCTTTATCCACAAAGGGTTTGAGGAAACTTACACAAAGGAAGCATATAATAAAGTAAGAAAATAAAAATTAAAGCAGAAGCAAAGAAATTATAAATAGAAGTGGAATTAGCACTAGAAAAGAACAACATAAATGTGTAGTTAATAGAGGTTAAAAGTTATTTAAAAAAAAAAAAGAGCTAAACATTTTCCTGGAATCTTTTTTGTTTTGAGATGGAGTTTTGCTCTGTCACTCAGGCTGGAGTACAGTGGCTTGATCTTGGTTCACCACAACCTCCACCTCCCGAGTTCAAGTGATTCTCCTGCCTTGGCCTTCCAAGTAGCTGGGATACAGGTGTCTGCCACCACACTCAGTTAATTTTTGTATTTTTAGTAGAGATGGGGTTTTGCAGTGTTGGCCAGGCTGGTCTCAAACTCCTGACCTAAAGTGATCCGCCCTCCTCTGCCTCCCAAAGTGCTGGGATTACAGGCATGAGCCACCATGCCTGGCCATTTTCCTGGAATCTTTATTCAATATATTTCTGACAATAGATAATTCTGAGATCACAGCACAGCCCTTTTATGGAATATCACATTATTTTCTCAAATCGGAAGAGCTAAAAATTATTAAAAAGCATGGAAAATGTTTTTCCAAAAGTGTTTGGGCTCTGGATTTTGAAGCCAGGTTTGTTTTTTCAACTTTCCTGTATCTTCACACTCCAAGTTATCAGAAGGCAGCAAATATACTATTTTATTTTACTATTCTTACTTTTTGAGAAGGAGTTTTACTCATGTCACCCAGGCTGGAGTGCAATTGCACACTGCAACCTCCATCTTCCAGGTTCAAGCAATTCCCTTGCCTCAGCCTCCTGAGTAATTGGGATTACAGGCACCCATCCACCACACCTGGCTAATTTTTGTATTTTTAGTAGAGAGGGGGTTTCACCATGTTGGCCAGGCTGGTCTCGAACTCCTGACCTCAGGTGATGCACCTGCCTCAGCCTCCCAAAGTGCCAGGATTACAGACATTGAGTCACTGTGCCTGGCAGCAAATGTGCTATTTTAGATTATTCTTCTTTACCCAACTACATAGGAATACACAGCCTTTTTTGTTTGTTTGTTTGTTTGTTTTGGACTTTTTTGTTTGTTTTTGTTTTTTTAACTTTCCCTTACTATCCACAGTAGTGCCCTTTTATCCACCGAAAATCTATTCCAGGGCCCCCAGTGGATGCATAAAACCGCAAATAGTACCTAACCCTGTAGAGACTATGTTTTTTTCCCCATATATACATACTTATGATAAACTTTAATTTGTAAATTAGGCACAGTAAAAGATTAACAACAATAACTAATAATAATATAGAAGAACTATAACAATATGCTGGAATAAAACTTACGTGAATGAGGTTTCTCTCCTCGCTCTCTCTCTCTGCGTCTTAAGATATCTTAATATTTTCAGACTGCGGTTGACTACGGGTAACTGAAACCACAAAAAGCAAAACCATGGATAAGGGGAGAGTAGTGTAAGAGCCAGAATCTTGAGCATATAAAAACTAACACGAAGTGACTTCATCTCCAAAGACATTTCCTATCTGCATTGGTGGAAGTCAACTGAAAATCAGAAAACTAAAAATACTTAGTAAAATTACTGCAGGTGATTCATGGCCATAAGTCTTCCTTTATGAAAAGTAAACCTGGATAATAGCTCTTAGGTAAATGTTTTAAATGTATCGACCATCCGCAGGAATTTCTTTCTAAGGCCATTTAATTTTTAAATAAACTTTGAATCACAGAAAGGCTGTGTGATTCAGTTGCACAAATAACAATACTATGTTTTGCTAATCCAGAGTTTAAAAGAATCAGGCCAGGTGCCTGTAATTCCAGCACTTCGGGAGGCAGAGACAGGTGGATCACTTGAGGCCAGGAGTTTGAGACCAGCCTGGCCAACATGGCAAGACCCCATCTCTACTAACAATACAAAAATTAGCTGGGTGTGGTGCCATCTGCTTGTAATCCCAGCTACTTGGGAGGCTGAGTCACAAGAATCACTTGAACAGGGGAGGCGGAGGTTGCAGTGAGCTGAGATGGTGCCACTGCACTGCAACCTGGGTGACAGAGCAAGATTCTGTCTCAAACAAACAAACAAGCAGTGCAGGTACATGTTTTTAGACGGTCTAACCTGGCCTGTTTGGTGTTAAAAAAAATGGTAGTTATAACAGAAAAAGGTCTGACAGACACTAGCAGGGAGCTCAGAGACTTCCATTCTGACTCTAGCCTTTGCCTTGCTCTGGTCTGCTGCCAGCCTGGACACCTGTCTGGGAAACTCGACACTATAACCAATGAAAGGGAGAGCTGTACTTGTAACTAGACTTTGTTTTGATAACTAACTCCATTCCCATATTGGAACAGTATGTGCAACTCTAAGCTATAACAGTGATATGGTTTGGCTCTGTGTCCCCACCCAAATCTCATCTCAAATTGTAATCTCCATCATCCCTACATATTGAGGGAGGGAAGAGATGGG